GAGAGAGAGAGAGAGAGAGAGAGAGAGAGAGAGAGAGAGAGAGAGAGAGAGAGAGAGGTTTAGTTGTCTCTTGGCCATCCCTTAGGAAACAATCAATGTTATTTTCCCCCACTACTCGCCCGTTACTTTGCCGAGTTAATGGATGATCCTGTTCTTGTTGATATCGTGCAATGGTGACTTGATCTGTTTCGTGGTCCATTCAAACGACAGTCATTGGTTTTAACACTTTTTGTATGTTGCTTTGCTTCATGTTTGTTTCTTCGAACACAATTGATTCATTTTCGCAATTTCATTTCACACTGTTGCAATGCACTTATTGAAGACCGACAACAAAACGAGAGAGAGAGAGATCAGAAATAATGCCTCATGGATGAAAGACTAAACGAACTCATTTCATCAAATATTGATTGCGATTGTTTAAAAAGAGCACAACTCACATAAAAAGATGTTCACCCCGATTCCTTGGTTGATTAGCCAACCATCGTGACCAAACACCAACAAGAGCAAGAAAAAAAAAAGAAAAAGTAACGACTCGAAATGCGATCCCGACGGAAAGCAGAGAAGAAGACGAAGTTGATAGAAACGAAAACTACCATTGCGCTTTGATCATCGGATGCTGAAAGCAAAGTGGGGACAACGAACTTCGGCCCCTCCCCCTATACCCCCCCAACCGCCCCCTTCCCCCTGTCCGGCTACTTGCACCCCCGTACTATAATATGACGGCGGGATCGATCCCCGCACCGATCACTGTTAACTTCGAAGGGGGCAATGGCGAATCACCGGCGTACAAGACATCAACAAACCGTCGTCCGTCCAAAACCCTCACACCCCGGACGTCCTCACCTAACGCATTTGCATGCACAGAGCATCGCGCAGAGCGAGGGCAACCTTTGTGGCAGTCGCTTAGGAGACGGGCTGCGACGGCTCCTGCAAACTGAGGTCAATGGGGACGGTCTTCCCTTCTCGGTCGCGATCAAGCAACAAACGCTCGTCAAACGCGACCCCGACCTCCAACAACAAATTGTGGATGATGCAGACGGTCGTGAATTGCTACGAAAGGTTATTCATGTTCGTCTTGTGATGACGAAGGAATAACCTCCACATCCCCTTCTGTCGTCCGAACGCTCTTTCTACGACCCCCCTCGTAGTCTTCTGGCGAGTGTCGAAAAGAGCGACATCCCCCATCCGCTCTGACGGCCCGTACGGAACCACAAGCCATCTGCGTGGGGCATAACCATTATCCCCCAGCAGGTACCCTATCGTCCTCGCACCACCCAAGAGGAGGATGGGCTCCGCGTTGAAGATGTCGCCCGCTTCTGCTTCCCTGAGTAGTTAAGAGTTCAGCAACACGCGTTGATCGTGGACGCAACGAGGAGAACCGACGAAGACGTCGATGATCCGCATGTCAAGGTCCACAACGACCTGTGCCACGACCGAGAATTGCTGCTTAGTTTTATGACGGCGCGTTTGCAGGCTTGCCCATATAGATGTCGGTGCAGCTGATGGTGCCGAAACAATTGGGGAAACCTTTACCGTTATTGTACCAAATACCCTTACAAGGGTATTTGGCGTGTTTTTTGCAAGTCGCACTAGTGCAGCCTCGTCCGCTTGGCGGCGCGCGTACGTGAGAGGAAGCCTGGGTCCTCGTCTGGGTGAGCGGCGCGCACGGGGTATTGATGGCGAGGTGCAACCATGCGCAGCCTGGGTGTGCGCAGCGTCGCGGACCAGCAGGACGCGCGGCGTCAATTCTTATTTCTATCATGTACTTATTTATCTACTTTTACCATGTTTATAAGGTTTTTAACTTTTTACCTCAATAATCAGTTCGGAGGCCGGCACCGGGGACGGTGGCCGAAACCACAGTCAAAGACCTTAAGCACGCCCATCGGAACTCCGGCGTGACCAAGGCGTTAACAGACTCCTGACTGCGTGGGGACACGGACGGAGAGGTCAACATGCCGGATGGCGGGGGATTGCCCCGGGTGCGCCGTCCGCCGACCACGATTTGCTGTGAGACGTTTGTGGCCGGGACACCAGGGGGGTCGTGAGGTGGCTTTGTCTACATAGAGTTTTACTCCGCTTCGGCCTTCAAAGGTCCCGTTCGGATATTTGCCGCCACCACCAAGATCTGCACTAGGACCCACCTCACTGAGGTTCACGCCGCAGGCTTCGCAGCAGGTCACGGGCCCGCTGTAAAAGGACCACATGCCTCCTGCTATTCGCAATGAGAGCTTTGAGTAGGGGCATGCCGCAGGGACCCGAAGGATGGTGAACTAGGCACGGTCTAGCGGGCCACGAGCACTGTGGGGAGGTTCGCAGCTATACTGTTGCAGCCTTTCGTCGGACGGGTATAGGGGCAGGGGGCTACTTGGACCAACATGTGGCCCATCCAACTGGAAGCTTTTCCCCGGGGCGGCCGGAGGTGTTCAACGGCCTAGCTGCTCGGCTGTAGGACAGCGCATTGTGACAAGGGACTCTAGGCAGCTCCGCTGTGCAGAAAGGAAGTCATGTATTGACTGGGAGATTGTCACAGACTGTGAAAAGGGGAGAACGGAGAGAGTTCAAAGGAACAAAGGAAGAGAGTGGGGGCGTTTGAACGCAGACGAGCGGTGGGCGCTGAAGCTGTGACGCAAGGCAGCGGAGCGACAAATAGCTGAAAAGGGAACAAACCTGGACGCGAAGCGTGCCGGGTGCATACGGACAAGCGAGAGGGCGCTGAGACTGCGAAAGTAATGGGGAACGAACCCGAACGTGATTCCCGGCAAGGTTCGTGCGAAAACGGAGCGGGCTATGGCGAAGGAAGCGGGAGAAGAAGGGAGGACGGATATCTCCCTTGATCCTCAACCAAATCGAGGGAGGGAAGAGTCGTTTTAGGGGTTATGATGGTGGGCGACTTCGAAGGTGAGGTTAGTTTTTGTGATAAGGTAGTAGAGAGAGAGATTAGTAGAAAAGTCGTGCGCCGAGATGACGATGGGAAGAGAAGATGGGGAATGAAATGAGATAACTCGGTCATTTTAGGACCAATTTTTGCAATCCAAACCACTAGATTGGGGTTTTGGGGTCGGGCGAAGCTGATGGCAATGTTAGATTCTATATAGGATGGATGGTATAGCCGGGATTAGCTGTGTGGGCTATGCTGTGGCTATGAAAGAAAAGCGGGAAAGGAGCGATGGAGGGAATGCGAGATGGCCCTCCTAGTCAAGTCTTCAAGGTAAAAAGCAAGAGCTTTGGACTGAGGCAACATAAGTATAGACGGCGGATTAGAAATTGGGACGCTAGAATGGACGATGTGGAAGTATAGAGGCTGCGCGCAGAAAAGGGGAATGAACTTACCTATACTCTAGCAGAAGGTTCATCGGGTTCTTTCTGCACGATACAGGAGTAGCTGGGGGATGGCCGTGTAGCCGGAGACTCGCCTGCTGGTCATGTGGTGCTTATCCCGCTGAGGATTGGAATGAGGGGGGGAAGCTTAACGTTATTGATCCTGGCAGGTGTCTACGACGGTTGGCACCCTCATGTACTTCAATTCAACTACTGACGATGACAACCGCCTGGCAGGTTGGGAACTGGTAATGCCTGTGCCGATCGTAGCCTGGGCACCGAGCGCCAGACAGAAGAAAAGGGCGGCAGGTTACTACCACAGCAGATACCAGGTTGGGGGTGTGTATACTCACCTTGTAGTCGGTGCGCTGGTCTTTTTCGACGAACCAGCGTGGTAAGGGGCTGACTGCAGGATCGGAAGCTTGCCTATAGAGCGATTTACGGCTCAACTCATCGAACAAAGTAGTGGGAGGCAACCACAAACACAGAAAACTGTCGGCACACAGGAGCGCTACCCATTATGACAACTGGACGACGGGGAGAAAGGTCGCGAGGTGGTGTGCTTATCTATTTGGAAGGAGCATCCCTCATTTTGACACCAGGAGTAACGAAGTGTAAGCTGCGGCCTTGAAAACCAGTCTATTAGTTGGTACGCCGAAGATTGCCGAATTCCCATGCGTGAGCACAATGTCATTGAGGGCAAAGCATGGACAAATAATGTCCACAGTCTTTCGAGTGAACGGTGGCGGCTACCTGTTTCTGGATTAAGAAGCCTGTCCACATCTACCGTTGAGACCAGCATACGGAAGAGAAGCTTACCTGCGATCCAAGGAGTCAGTCGATGCCGCTTTTTCGTTAAGCAATCGTGCAGTGCTACGCATTTCGTACTACTCATTGGCGCCCAAATTATTAC